GTTATGTCACAGCGATGTTATAGTTTTGTTGTAGTAATGTTGTAGCTATGTTATAGTTTTGTTGTAGTTATGTTATAGATGTGTCATAGTTATATCTTAGCGATGTTATACTTTTGTTGTAGTTATGTTATAGTTGTGTCATAGTTATATCATAGCGATTTATACTTTTTGTTGTAGTTATGTTATAGTTGTTTCATAGTTATATCATAGCGATGTTATACTTTTCTTAGTTATGTTATAGCTATGGTATATTTTTGTTATAGTTATATTATAGCTATGTTATAGTTTTGTTGTAGTTATGTGATAGCTATGTTATAGTTTTACATTCTAATGTTATATTATAGTTTTGAAATAGTTGTGTTATGCTAATGTTATTGTCATGTTTTAGTTTGGTTATAGTTTTGTTAAGGAAACGTAGTTAAAGAAGCGCAATGTGTACGTGTAATACAAATGTATTTCATTATAGAAATGTAAATATGTATCTATAGCTATGATTTTTTTCACTCACACACAATTCAATGCTAGTTACCTGTCCAGCTAGGCGAGCATCTGATATGTGGATGGCGAAAAAAAATTTCTGAAATTAGACAACACAGCTGATATATGACAAATATATATGACAGATATATATATATATCATATCCACATTAGACATTGTCTGATGTAACATTCGATTTTGTATATGAATAAAATTAAATAACTGGCGAAAAAAATAATGAAAGTAGTTCTTAATTAACTACAGTGTAACCAATATGGACGGATGTATCATACGGAGAGCAATGACTGTGGCCGAGTAGATGCTAGAATGTATGTGTTTATGTAGAAGTGTGTGTGTGCAAGTAGCTCTAAATATGGAGTTTCTTTACTGTGTGGATAAACACTATACCTAGGGTCTGTTATTCTTTGTAAAACATGATTTTTATATGTGACTGTATTTATAGATGGATGCCTTTAGCAATATGATGGATAGCCTGGTACATGGCTAATTTCATGTAATCATGTTGAGCAATACAAGTGTAAGGCTAGGCTAGTCTAGGCTAGGCTAGACTAGTCTAGACTGTCTACATAGCTCAGCACCTTGAGGCTGCCTGGCAAATGGTGGAAGCAGGATTTTAGTGTACAGCTGGCTGCTAGGCTGAAAAGGCACACATATGTTTAAATGGTAAGGCTTTTGCAGTGGCAGCTAAACAAGCAAAAAAAAAAAAAAAAAATACCTACATTGTGAGGAGGAAGGGGGTAGCTTTCTTGCAGGACTGTGGTGGCAATAAATGAAATGACTCAGAATCTCTTCTCCAGTCAGTTTTTACGAGAGCTGCCAGACAGCGTCTGTTCACGTTCTGCAGATACTAGGGGCGCCATAACAAAGTTAAGGTCAAGTTAGTGTCTTATCTTGGGTGGCACAAACTATAGCACGGTATCTCCTCTTTTCCCATAGATATAGAACTAGATTTTTCTTGATGAAATAAGGCTGTTATACCTCATTTAACACTTGGAAATGTCACTGAGAATTAAATACCTTTTCAGTGAGAAAATGATTGCAAATGTTTCAAGACATCTCATGGTAACGTATTTATCTGTATTCTGTGATGTATACGTCTTCCATATGCAGTGTGCACACGTCCAACATCGGATTGTCTGTCACGTTGTGACTTCTGCCTGTACGCATGTGTGTGTTGTGATTGTGTGTTGTGTTGTGTGTAGGTTGTGTGTAGTGTTGTGTGTAGGTTGTGTGTAGTGTTGTGTGTGTGTAGTTGGGTGGTGTTTTATGTGTAGATACCAAAGTCACATCCAGGCGTACACAACGAATACCCAGAATTACAATAGATTTGGTGTTCTTGGGCATCTGGCTGCAAGATTAGATCTTATAGTGTGTGTGACCATCGACGTTATCTGTCATGTTTTGTATTGGTGTGTGCAAATGTGTTATGTATTATAAAAGAGGAGAAAGCAAGGCTCAATTGTATCTCGTTCTATGCAGTTCAGTTAAGACACAGTTGTGGAAAACGTTAAGGTACACATCTGTTTGTCTGGGTATGCATGTATGTATGTGTGTATAATGTGTGTATACCGTGTGTACACATACCCACACACATACATACACACACGCACATAAATAAATCTGTATATATATATATATATACATATACAGATATATATATGTGTGTGTACAATCTATGTGTAATATATATATACTGTGTATATATACATATATATATATATATACATATATATATATATATATATATATATATATATATATATATATTTTATATATTTTATATATATATATATATATCTTGTCATCACTATAGCTTGAGCGTGAGGACGCCTATAGAAATGTAAAGAATTTAGTACAATTCTGAACTGAAGACATAATAATTTATTTGGATCTCACAGATTATTTGTTAAACAGCGGGGTATAACCCTCCGAAATTCACACATGTGTGCTGTGGTGCGTATGTGTCGCATGTGTGTTTCTCCTCTCATTGTATAGTATGTGTATATTGACTTAAACATTTTAGTCTTCTTTTGTAGTAAAATAGTTTGGTAAAAAATGGGAATATATGACACGTATTTTCTAAAACCATATTAAGGCAAATGCAATAAAAAGGGCTAAAAAGTCCGCAGACATGAACAATAGCTATGTTGTAGATAGTGCATAGGACACATGTGGCCACGTGTTATATTCCATATATCTATGGATCTATTATCTATGAGTATCCGTGTTCATGTCTATGGGGTTTTTTTTTTTTTTGTGTACTGGTTGGAAAGCAGCGGCCATGTTCCTCTTCAAACATATTTTTTTGACTAGTGGGGATGCACTATTATCATGGCCTTTCTTGGTAGTCTGATTTTTTTTTAATCTACCCAAATATCTTCAAAATTGCGCCTTTGAAGGAGTTATAAATATGTATTTTGATGATCTAAAGTCACTGATACTGATCACACATTTGTACGATCTGCAATACAGATGTGATCTGTTGCTCAAGATGGCCGATGTGTAGATTTTTCACTGTGTGTTATTAGCACTTCTTCTACAAGATAGAGATAGAGGAGCATTTATTAAAGGAATTGAGAATCTCCACATAAATCGTGTGACTATTTCTCTTCACCTATCCAGTCATATGAAAGAAATTCCTGATTACTTGTTTCATGATTGGGTCATTAAAGCGATTATTCAGACAATTTATTGAGTGATGATTGTCACATCCTTTAGTAAATCAGCCCAATTGTGTTATATATTGTGTGTATATGCTGCCAACAAATATGAGATATTGGTAAATATGATATATATGGTATATTTGTTTTGTGTATTGTATATGTACTTGTTTTTTTTTTATCCCTTCTGTTTACGTTTCTTTTGTATTCCTATCAGGGCTTTGTTGTCTGCTAAGCTTAATATTTCATTTATGTCGTAATAAAGGCTGTGCAACCTTCCTTTTTTGTGATATTTGAGGGGTATTTCTATAATAGGAAATTGCGTTTTAGACAAGTCATCGCCATGACCTATAAAGATAGATAGATAAATAGATAGATAGATAGATAGATAGATAGATAGATAGATAGATAGATAGATAGATAGATAGATAGATAGAGTTTGGATAGTATTCTTCACAGCTGTTTATATAAATATATATATAGATATATAGAGAGAGAGAGTTTGGATAGCATTCTTCACAGCTGTTTATATGTATGTATATATATATAAAATATATATATATATATATAGAGAGAGAGAGAGAGAGAGAGAGAGAGAGAGAGTTTGGATAGTACTCTTCACAGCTGTATATATATATATATAGAAAGAGAGAGAGAGCGTTTGGATAGTATTCTTCACAGCTGTTTATATGTATGTATATATATATAGAGAGAGAGAGAGAGATTGGATAGTACTCTTCACAGCTGTTTATATGTATATATATATATATATATATAGAGAGAGAGAGAGCGTTTGGATAGTATTCTTCACAGCTGTTTATATATAGTGAATATTATGTTTCTACGCCTTTATACTAGTAGTGCCATATCCAATGCTATTAATGGTGTTCTCTATGGGGTTGTGTGTATGTGCTTTGTTATCAGACATTTGGAGACAAATCTATATGCATTTGGTATTTATTGGTTTATTTGTACTTGTATGTAGCGGGTGTAGACCAAGGAATACAAGCCTCTGATGGTGTGCATTGCTCTAATGACATTATGTACTAATATAGGACAAGTGATCGGTGTGATGATTTGTAATGTGATGAAATATAAAAATAGTCATTGTTTGTATGTATTCCTGGGATTATAGGAAGGAGAACATTGGGCGCATTAACATGGGGCGCATACATGCGCATTTTCTTAAGTCAATTATCCATAGAGGGCTTGTACTTTTTAAACAAAAGTCCATTTTTTCTGTCATCTATCCTAGCAGCATACACATGGTTCCTTATGCTGGTGATAATGAAAGCCCTCCTCCATTGCCTCCAATGTAATCTGATATTGTGATGCTGGCTTTCGGATAACTGTTTATTTGTGTGTAAACCTATATATTGTGGTTATAATCATAAGCTTGCTCTCTGAAATACGCATTTTAGTTAAATAGCAATGAGCTGCTTCATCCTTTAAATAGGGAGAACGGGGCAGATCTTGGTAGCTACTGTACAGAGCTGTGTACACGCCACTGCTATATATATCAACAGCTGGGGGAGGATAGAAATGTATCTTGTTTTGTACAAAAAAAAAAAAAACCCCCAAACGTGCAGAGTGTAGCAGTGAAGCACCTTTGTGCAGTGTGCGAGGGATGTTTCATTCTGCAGGGCTCTTATAGATATAAGGACATTCTACATGGGATCACGTGACATAATTACCACTAGAATCAATCAAGATGAATTGCACGTCAGCACACGTTCACGGTTTTTTCTTAGTTGATGCTGTCCAAGCCCTCTTGAGCAATAGATGGATCTTGTTCAATGCAGTGAAATCTCCTTGTTGCTTTCCATCGCAAAAAGGGAGAGATGACTGAGTTTGAGAATTGCAACAACAGTGCACCCAATATGTATCTGCCTGGCTGCGCTTACTATGTCTCTCCATCGGATTTCTCCACCAAGTCCTCGTTTTTGTCCCAGTCCTCCTCCTGCCCTATGACTTTCTCCTATTCTTCCAATTTAACTCATGTGCAACCTGTGAGGGAAGTGGCATTCAGGGAGTATGGGTTGGAGCGCAGTAAGTGGCAGTACCGGGGCAGTTACCCGTCGTATTACCCCAGTGAAGATGTCATGCACAGGGACCTCATCCAGCCTGCGAACAGGAGAACGGATGTCTTGTTCAAATCGGACTCTGTCTGCAACCACCATGGACCTTCCAGTGCTCCTTCTAACTTCTACAACACAGTGGGTAGGAATGGGATCCTTCCACAGGGCTTTGACCAGTTTTATGATGCCAACCAAAACCCAACATACCAGGTGGAGGCAGAGGAGCAGCCTGCAAAGTCTGAGCTCAAAACTTCCAACCTAAATAGCAAAATCACCTCTACCCAAGATAAGAAAGTGACAAGCGACAATAGCCCCGATTCCCCTTCTGGGGAGCCTGCTGCAGCAGAGAAGAGCAACAGTTCAGGTAGGCATCAACTGGGGGCAAGAGTACAAGGCCAACACTTTGTCAGACTCCTTTTATGTGCTATTTTATAAGCATTCAAGGGTTTTATATATCCTATAAGGTTCCTTTTACCGTTGTAAAGTCTGTTTACGACAGGGAACTAATTTAAGAGGAAGATAGCCTTTTGTTGAACATTCTCCCTTTCGTTATCATGCTTTGCACATTATCTTGCATTCTTTTGGATAGTGTCGTACAATGGAGGCTTAGATGCCTTTCAGCATTGGCTAGAGAGCTGTACTATGTGCATACCTATAGGCACACATGGACTTGTAAACATGAGAGGGGTGTATATGGTGTTCATCTGTATTTTATGTATGTATAGCATACCTATAGGCGCAATAACATGGACTTGTAAACATGACAGAGGTGTATATGGTGTACATCTGTATTTTTTGTATGTATAATATACCTAGAGGCACAATAACATGGACTTGTAAACATGATAAGGGTGTTTATGGTGTACAGCTGTATTTTCTGTATGTGTAATATATATATATATATATATATATATATATATATATATACACACATACATATATTATATACATATATATATATATATATATATATATATATGTATACATACACACACATACATACACACAGCTGTACTATATGCATACCTGTAGGCACAATCACATGAACTTGTAAACATGGCAGGGGTGTGTATGGTGTGTATTTTGTGTAATAAACACACACACACACACACATATATATATATATATATATATATATATATATATATATATATATATATATACACACACACACACCACGCACTCACCACACACATATATATATAATTTTATTATGTATACATATTATGTATGTGACCTTTACTGTTATTGTACCTTTTTATTTAGAGACTTTCAAAAACGATCCTCTTAGACAGTACACCCACTGAGGCATACTTTAAGGACACATACCAGTTTATAATAGAATTATACTCAAAGAAAAGTCACATTATATTATCAATGATATTAAAAATATGTTTTTCTTTCTTTTTAAAAAAAACAATATCTGGCAGCTTCCCAGCGGCTTAGGAAAAAAAGATGCCCTTATAGCAAGTATCAAATCCGGGAGCTGGAGCGAGAATTTTTCTTCAATGTGTACATCAACAAGGAGAAGAGGTTACAGCTGTCCAGGATGCTGAACCTCACTGACCGCCAAGTGAAAATTTGGTTCCAGAACCGAAGGATGAAAGAAAAGAAACTTAACAGGGATCGACTTCAGTACTTCACTGGAAATCCACTTTTTTGAAAGGAAAAAATGCACAATTTATTAACAACAACAAAAAATGAATAACAATATTTGGGGATCCCAACTTTCATTTTTTTTGGACCATGATATCATGAGAGGATTTCCAAACCTCTGGAGGATGCCTTCTTGGTAAGGAAAGGGTCTTAAAAACGTCACTTACAGAATGCAGCCAATGGTGTGTTTTTTTTTCTTCCCTGAATCTATAACACTGATTATACAGTATTAGACTGACTGCAAGCAGCCAGGGTGGCTTCCAGCTACCATAACTACAGTGACTACAGTACACATTTAATTAAACGAATGCAGCTTTAATATATATATATATATATATATATATATATATATTATATATATATATATATATATATATATATATATATAGCTTCTCTGTGCACGACTAATATGTTCTCTTGTGGAAATTGTTTTATGGTAAAAATGGTGTTAACTTGAACACATTGCATGAGTTTCCATGTCTCTCAAAGTTCTTTAAGTATCTCTGTCAGCAATTATTGCATTATATAACCCCACCATATGTACATATTTATTAAATTTTCAATGTTATTTTTTACCAACCTGAATACGTTTCATATAATGTTCATTTATTTAGTCGAGCAATAGAAAAGTATGATACTGAGAAACTGGTGGAGATTTTTTAAATGGTTTTATTAAAGTTTTTGTACTATAGAGCTCTAATTTCTAAAAATCGTACATCAGTCGCTGGCCATCACTAATATATATATATATATAAATAATGAAAACAGTATTTTTTTGGCAGTTTGAAGAAAAATAAAATGACATTTGCTGTTTTTTAGGATCAAACGTCAGGGTCTGGAAAAAATCTGTTTATTTTGTGAGTTTAAGAATTTGGTTGAGCTTATTCCTTTACACTTTATATGGCGTGACCTACTGGGCTGTTTACAAAACCTTGAACTGTCTAGACAACACAATAAAAGTAGGGGATCCAAGCACCATAATTGGGTTATATTAGACACCTTCTGGTGGGCTAACAGCGATTTCCGCAAAGTGCAATAAAGGAAGAAGTGAGAAAGGGGGCTGGTTCCTTCAATGGCACTCAGTGGGCGTTTTTTTATCTTGGCACAGAGCAAAGTTAGACAAGAACTAGGCAACAGACCTACAATAAGGAGCTCAGAACAAAGAGAGAGGCAGAGAAATATATTGTTAAGAAAAAAAAATTGCTTCAATTTGGGCAAAAACTAAGCAGTTGCCTTTGAACTTCCAAAATGTCAAGGTCATCACCTTTCACCTTCCCGAATAATTAAAAGCCTTAAGGCTCTCTTATTATTTTGCTTAGCTGCCACCCACTACTGTGGCTTGAAATATCTTCACTCTAAAATATTTTATTGTAGAAGTAAATCACTAAAACAGCATTTTTTTTTTTCACAAACAGGCTCAAAAACCATTACTTAACCATGACGTATTGTGTAGACTCCTATATGTTGTATGTGGGTTAGATACTAAAAATCGAATAAAACGAAAAAAAAAAGGGGGAAAACAATTGATATAGATATAGCACACTGTAAACTAGTTATTTTAAATATGGGAAAATACTTATATGGGATCATGATGCAGCTTCCTGTTCACCAAAATACATTCCTTCAATGATCTTCAGTAATGTTACTTAATATCCAAAAATATTAATCAGTTGTAGCCTTTAGATTTGATTATTTTGTCTTCAATAAAAAAAAAAGCTTAATAATAAATAGATGATAGATAGATAGATAGATAGATAGATAGATAGATAGATAGATAGATAGATAAGATAGATAGATAGATAGATAGATAGATAGATAAATAGATAGATATAGATTATTAGACAAATGTGTAATTAGATTAGATTAGATTTGAATCTTTTCTGTCTTTTTTTTCCTTTTTGCATTGTTCATCCAGAAGAGTTAGGTGCCGTTTGAGGTGTTATATCTGAATTGACCACAAGAGGGCGACTGATGTATTGCAAATGGCTAAAATGTTGCAGCTTTTATATCCCATACCTCTAGTCACATAAGGTTTCTAGATTTTTCTCTACAGCAACTGTTCTTTTGAAATATTGTTTAAGTAATACCTGTTTTGAGCTTTGCATCACTGCTACTGTGTGCTGAAAACTGCATTACACAAAACTTACTTTGATAGCAGAATTCCATTTTAAGTTGAACACAGAAAGGTGGGAGACTTGCCTCTCCACTAGATGCTGTATAAAGTTATAATACTGACTAAATGGTGGCATCAGTATGAGTGGTGGTGGTGGGGGGTGCATTTATGCTAGATGATAAAAGAGTAACCTCATAATAAGAGCTAAAGGAAGATAAAAAGAGATGAGAGCAGAATATTTATTGTACCCAATGGTTCTATGAACAAATTAGAAGCTAAAATTTTGCAGTGAACTGTTAGTGGGGAGGACGTTTGTGCTGAAATATTTAAGTACACCATAGGTTGTGAGCAATTATTGCCTGAATACGTACATTTTTTTTTATACCTGAACTCTTAACTGAACATCCAAAAATTGCCACGATGTTATCGTTATTCAAGTTCCAAGATCATATATATATATATATATATATATATATATATATATAATTTAACTTATATTTTTAATTTGCTGTGAATATATGCACCGAATATCAATATCTAGTTAGATACAGGTGAAGGAAATCTGATTCATTGATCCTACACGCCGACACTTGTCCCTTTCCTATAGAGATATAGGCAGAATAGAACAGAATAATTCATTTTCTTCGTATTATGAAAAGTTACATTACTGAAAGTGACTAGCTGCTTGATGAGGAGAAAGAAATGACAGACCATCATTCCAAAGTAATGGAAAAGAAATGTATATATCGCATTAATGCTATATTATTACAATACACGATTTTAATTTGAAACATATGTATTTCTTTATATAGATGTATTCAGTTTACAAGTTGAATTATATGAGAGTCTCTGAATTAAAATACATTTAAAATACATTTATAATAATATTGTTTTACTAAGTTTTGATTTGAAGTATTTTAAACCAGTGCTGTGTCTATGAAAGCGCAATAGAACAGTTCTCTTGCTTCAGGTGCAGTTTTTCAAAACCTACAGAAATGATACATACAAGTCGTGTGATTGCAATGGGATATCTATTCTGTGATGTATCAATTTCACGTTCTCTAATTACCTTCCCCGATGATCTGTTCCACTTTTTTTCTTTAACGAGACAATCACAAAATGACTGTACTGTGTGTATCCCAAAAAACGGTGGAGGAAAAATTGCTTTATGCCAAAATGAATAGAAAAAGCAATAGGTATGAGAGGGGAAAACGCTTTTGCTGGATCCTCAGCATAGTGTTTCCAGTAGGATATAGATTTATGATAGAAAAAAAAAACACACACACACACACACACACACACACACACACACATATATATATATATATATATATATATATATATATATATATATAAAGGTAGTGAATATGAATATATATATATATATATATATATATATATATATATATATATATATATATATATATATATATATATATATATAATGTTTCTGTCACAAACTTTATTCACTACATTCACGTATATATTCCTACAGAGAGAGAGAGAGAAATGCGTGAATGATGTAGTGAATATATATATATATATAATTAAAAAATATATAATGTAGTGAATAATATAACATATATCTATCTACACACGCAGATATGCATCGAACCATATATCAAATTACTATAGTACTTTCTTACATTCAGAAATGTTCTCTGTGTGTAAATGTATGTACACACACACATATATATATATATATATATATATATATATATATATATATATATATATATATATTTATACACACTCTATCTATCTATCTATCTATCTATCTATCTACCTGTCCATCTATCTATATTATACAAAGAGAGAGTATATATATATATATATATATATATATATATTCATGCATAATTAACATTATTTGGATGTTAAAAAGCATTATAGTGTTTTGATATATTGCTAAATGCATCTGTATGATATATAGGTATAATAAATATATACATTTACATTCGCACATAGAATACATGTGTATATATGTATGTCTGCATATTTTTAATTAGAGTGTTATGCCTGCATGTGCGAGTATATATATTCGTACTATTGTAGATCATCTATACTTGCTATACTTTAACATGCAGTTACTGAATCCAACAATATTTGTATTATGAATTCAGCTTATAATTGCTATTATTATTTTCAGAAAAGGGATAACGTTTCCATCTGATGTGGTTGCATCGTATTGGTAGATGCCAGAGTGAATTCATTAGTACTGAAGATGGACATTAGCTTAGGATTTCAATTAAGCTAGCAGTTAAATTGCTGCAATGTGTGCTGTGTTCAGGAAGGAGGTATTATCCTTGTGTTATTGCATTATATACCTTTTTTTAGAGACATTGGAGCAGTCTGTTAATAAGAATAGTACGTGATTGCTTGTGGTGCTCCTTTTGCTTTAGATACCTAAAGAAACAGTCTGCTTCTCCCTGGCAATAGCTAATTGCTGAACCTTCATTAGGTCATTGGTGAATGCATATATTTCTCTAGGCTGTGTACATCAGTGAAATAGCATTATTGCACCATACACCACAAATAAATGCAGCTTTCCTACTAAAAGCGTGTCGACTGGGTCAAAAGACGAAGGTTATGTGGTATTATAGAAGCCTTGATATTTTCACAATTGTCAGTCACCACCTTTTTCATTCTACTTTTAAAAAATATACTCCTAGAGCATCTGAGAATGTTTATCTTAAAGGAGATATCTCAAAGCACCTCTGCCAGTAACTAAGCAGATCCAAGCCTTCATTTACTAGTGAGAAGACCAAGGTAGACAGCTTATAAGTTTTTTTTTTTTTAATGTTCCTTTGGGTTCTGTGTATAATAGTCACATACAAGCTATTTAACAACACGCCCACACAGGCTTTGCAACTGCAGTTGTAAAAGGCAGTGGC